TGCCAGGATGAATTCTCTTCCTTGCCTCTATGTTTGGAAGCATATAGGATTGTTTATGCAAGTTTTAATACAACAACTTGACCCCATTGTTTATTTCAAGCTTTCATACTGCTTGAGTTTCAAAGAGCTGCCAGTTTCATGTTAACTACAGTGGAGATGTCTAGCTTCGGGGTATGGGTGTTGTAACAACTGTGTTCCACCTCATCCAACCAGTGGCTATATCTGAATATGTGTTCAGAGAGCTGCAGCTGCTGTGAAGAGGTGTTGGGGGCAGCATGAGGAGATTAAAAAGGCAGCAAATGGTGATATTCTCCCAGGAACTGATTCCAGCTCTCTCCCCTCTGCTTGGGTGACTCTGAAGCTTTATAAGCCTAATGTGCTGTGGGCTGTAAAGTTGTTATTCTTGGCGGCGGGGGGGGGAGGTCATTTAATTCCAGTGATTTTTAGACAGGAGTCCCCTATCTCCACCCAGCTGCAGTGGACTGCTGCTTTTCCCTGCCTCCTCATTTCTGTTCACTGGTGGTTCGACCTTGGACCTCAGTTGCCTCTTCCTGTTAACACCTACCCCTTTCCCTCCTCCATTAACTAATCTATACAATTCCTTGCATCCATCTTCACTGCTTTTAAAATGTCAACTCTTCCTTTCCTTTAGACCTTGTCCATATCTCTTTCCTGGATCTCTGCCCTCTTCTTGCAAGGAGCTGTCTCTATATTTGCCTGACTTCCTTACAGAGATAGCATGTCATGCATTATTCTACATGGAATGCTTGCTGGAGCCTATGATTATTGCCCAACACATGGAAAGGGGTTTTTCTTCGCTCTCCCAGAGCAAAGTTCAAGTGAGCAAAAGTCAATTTTTGCCTCCTGTTCAATTGTATTTACTTCCTGCTGCCTGTCAGTGCACAGAGCCATTGATGGCCCCAGAGCTCTTGATCTGGTTTATTTTTCATTTGCTGCCTGCCGATTAGCAGTGAAGCGAATGAGTCCAGGCAGCTTTGTTTCTGTCAGCTGCAGTGAAAACAGAGCTCAAAGTCTGCGAGGGTGTAGCAATGGTATTGCACATGGTGGGCAGGACACAGGAAATGTACACTGGTAAGAGATCCAGACTTGGAGAGAACTGAAAATAGGAGGTAGCTGGAGGAAAAGAGGTGCTGCTGCTCTGTATTTGATCTTGAGGCAGTGCTAGAGAAGAAGTAGTATCAGATGGAGAACCAGTTATTCCAGGGGCTGGCTCACGCCAGGGGCTGGCTAATCTCTTCTTGCTTTTGAATTTAATGCATTTACAGGAAGATTCTGGACTCTCTGACATCCTCAGTTGTGCTCATCTCCCCTCACCACATTGTGGTGTTGCACTCCTTATGCTCCTTAGAATTTACTTTCAAAACCAGTCATTATTCCTTTAGACAACAGTTTATCAGTGAACACAGGTAACCTTCATGATGGAAGCATTTAAAAACACTGACAATGTAGCAGGCTTTTGTGTCTACTTTGCATCCATCTTGCCTAAACTCCAGCCTCTCCACTATCATGTCTTGGGAGGTCTCTGAGGATTTGTGATTTTTCTCAGATGATTCTGTTGGGTGTTCCCTTCTACCTTGTGCTAAAAGTATTGAGCTGGAAGGTTTTTTTACCTTGGCATTTAAGGCCCCCTAATCTAGAAAGCGATCATATTTGTGTGATTTGTTTGCTGCTGTTTCTCTGCACACCTATCCACAACTTGTGCTCAGTCTCTGGGAGTAACCACAATGAGGTTTGAAACCATGTTAGTGCCTTTCTAGAGAACCGGGTATTGGGCCTTTGCTCAGTGTGGTGGAATTGTCTCCCTGGTGATATTCATCTTGCTCATTCATTATGTCATCCTAAAACAGTTTTACATTTAAAAAAATCTTGTTACGCCCTCACCTGGGCCATAAAATCAAACACTACTAGGATAGAACCCAGCCTTTGTTAGAATAGGCCAGGGGTCGGCAACCTTTCAGAAGTGGTGTGCCGAGTCTTAATTTATTCACTCTAATTTAAGGTTTCGCGTGCCGGTAATACATTTTAACGTTTTTAGAAGGTCTCTTTCTATAAGTCTTTAATATATAACTAAACTATTGTTGTATGTAAAGTAAATAAGGTTTTTAAAATGTTTAAGAAGTTTCATTTAAAATTAAATTAAAGTGCAGAGCCCCCCGGACCAGTGTCCAGGACCCAGGCAGAGTGAGTGCCACTGAAAATCAGCTAGTGTGCCGCCTTCGGCACGCGTGCCATAGATTGCCTACCCCTGGAATAGGCCGTTAAATGGTATCTGCCTAAAAGGATTAACGATGCAGTCTGTCTCAACTCTTCCTAATCTGAGATCCCTATTCGCCCCTGGCCTATCCTGACCTTAGTATAAGTTATGGAGAGGGAATAGGAGCCAGAGACTTCTTGGTTTTCATCCTTGCTGTGTCAATCATTTGTTGTGTGATCTTGTGCAAACTGATCACCTGCTCAGTGCCTCTGTTTCCCAGTCTAAACAATGGGTGACTGTACTTCCCCCACTTCACAGCATTGGTCGGAGAATTATGAAGCTCGTATTTGCAACATACTTAGCATTAACAAAACATTTTACATCTGCAGTGTTACCTTGTTTCAGAGAAATTAATACAACATTGCTTATTTTTTTATATCATGCAGCAAAACCTATCTCAGCAACCAGCAAGAGTTTGTTTTACACCAGCGCTGTCTCAATTGCACGCATTACTATAATAAACTGGCCTGTGTATGTACGTCACTGCCATCTACTGGATAGAATCAGAACTGCTCAACTGTGTGTCACAGACCTGTGTTCTGCTAGATTCTTCTTTTAGTTCATACTTGTGGAACTAGAGTGACCAGATGTCCCAATTGTATAGGGACAATCCCGATTTTGGGGTCTTTTTCTTATATAGGCTCCTGTTACCCCTCACCCCTGTCCTGATTTTTCACACACACTCTATGGTCACCCTGTGTGGAACAGAACGGTGGGAATTCTGTCCTTGATGTTGCAGTGAAGTCCTAAGTAGTGTGCAGCACAATGATATATGTGGAGTGACAGTATTGCCAAATCTGGTAATATTTGCAGGTATAAAAATTTAATTAAAAAAAAATCATACCCCAGGCCTCAGGTGTGGTAGGATGACCACTGACAGATCCCCAGAATATTGGTCATCTAGGTACTTCCAGAACACTGTGGGCCAGCCCTCCGCCAGCATGACTCCTCAAGCACAGTGTGTGCTAGCTTATGCTGCACAGAGGACACCTCACTATTTACCCCTTTTTCCAGATTGTTTATGAATATGTTAAATAGGACTGGGCCCAGTACAGATCCCTGGGGGACACCACTATTTACCTCTCTCCATTCTGAAAACTGACCATTTATTCCTACCCTTTGTTTCCTATCTTTTTTAACCAGTTGCCAGTCCATGAGAGAACCATCCCTCTTATCCCATGACTGCTTATTTTGCTTAAGAGCCTTTGGTGAGGGACCTTGCCAAAGGCCTTCTGAAAATCTAAATACACTATATCCACTGGATCTCCTTTGTCTGCATGCTTGTTGACCCCCTCAAAGAATTCTAGTAGATTGGTGAGGCATGATTTCCCTTTACAAAAACCATGTTGACTATTTCCCAACAATTATGTTCATCTATGTGTCTGACAATTTTGTTCTTTACCATAGTTTCAACCAATTTGCCCGGTACTGAAGTGAGGCTTACTGGTCTGTAGTTGCCAGGGTCACCTCTGGATCCCTTTTTAAAAAATGGCGTCACATTAGTTATCCTCCAGTCATTTGGTACAGAAGCTGATTTAAATGATAGGTTACAGATGACAGTTAGCAGTCCTGCAATTTCACATTTGAGTTCTTTCAGAACTCTTGGTGAATACCATCAGGTCCTGGAGACTTATTACTGTTTAGTTTATCAATTTGTTCCAAAACCTCCTCTAAAGACACCTCAATTTGGGACAGTTCCTCAGATCTGTCACCCAAAGAGAATGGCTCAGGTTTGGGAATCTCCCTCATATCCTCAACAATGAAAACTGAAGCAAAGAATTAATTTAGTTTCTCCTCAATGGCCTTATCATTTTTGAGTGCTCCTTTAGCACAGGGGTCAGCAACGTTTGGCACACGGCTCGCCAGGGTAAGCACCCTGGTGGCCCGGGCCAGTTTATTTACCTGCTGACGTGGCAGGTTCGGCCGATCGCGGCCCCCACTCGCCGCAGTTTGCCATCCTGTGCCAATGGGGGCGGCGAGAAGCGGTGTGGGCGAGGGATGTGCTGGCCGTGGCTTCCCGCCGCCCCCATTGGCCCGGGATGGCGAACCGCGGCCAGTGGGGGCCGCGATTGGCTGAACCTGCCGCGTCAGCAGGTAAATAAAGTGGCCCGGCCCGCCAGGATGCTTACCCTGGCGAGCTGCGTGCCAAACATTGCCAACCCCTGCTTTAACATCTCAATTGTCCCGTGGCCCCACTGGTTGTTTAGCAGGCTTTCTGCTTCTGATGTATTTTAAAAAAATTGCTATTGCTTTTGGAGTCTTTGGCTAGCTGTTCTTCAAATTCTTTTTTGGTGTTTCTAATTATATTTTTACACTTAATTTGCCAGAGTTTATGCTCTTTTTTAATTTTCCTCATTAGGATTTATCTTCCACTTTTTAAAGGGTGCCTTTTTGCCTCTCACTGCTTCTTTTACTTTGTTGTTTAACCAGGGTGGCTCTTTTCTCCTTCTCTTAGGATGTTTTTTAAATTGGGGGGGACCCAGGCACTGCTCCTTTAAGAAGCGCAACGCTTCCTTACGTGGGAATCTGATTCCTTTTCTCTCACACTCCACCGCCTCTCTCCTGTTAGCCAATCAGAGCACACTTCCGGCGTAGCCGGCCAGCCTATCGCTGCGCTCCACGAAAGGCAGCGCCGTTGGGGCGTGGTTTAAGGCGGGAGAGCAGTCGAGTGGCAGCGCCGCTGGCCAATCGGCATGCGACCTAAGCTCTGGCGCGGGAGGTCGGTGGCTAGCTCCGTCAATGGGGATGTCGGGGTGGGGCGCAGTTGGCGCGCGGTAGATAGGCGGGCGGGTAGCCGACCAGTTCTGGCTAGGCCACGTGACGGGGGAGTCGGGGCTGTGGACGGCGGCTGCGGGGGGCGCGCGGCGAGGTGAGCGTTGTAACCCCCGCCCGGTAGAAGTGGGGGGCAGGGCCTGCATGTCCCCCAAACCCGTCGGGAGGCTGGGCAACGCGGGGGGGGGTGAGGGAAGGGACTTGCCCGCGGGGCATGCTGGGGTATTGGCGGGGTGGGGGCACGGAGTGGGGGGTGTATGGGGAGGGGGTTTTATTAGAGGGGCAGGCAGCGACTGGGAGGGGTGGTGGGAGAGGGCTTGGGGAGGCGTGGGGCGTAGCGGGGCCTGGTATGGGGGGAGCGCATGGGCCGGGGGGGGGCAGGGCAAAGCATAGGCTGGGGGGAGGGAGGTGAGGCTTAGCTTGGGTGGGTCTAGGCCCCTTAGAGAACTGTTGGGGGGCTGGGCCTGTAACGGGTGTGCGGGGTGTGGCTAGGCCCGGGGGTTGGTGAGTAGGTGGGGCTCAGCCCTGGAAGCATGGAGCCCTGGGCGGTATGGTGAGGGTGTCTGAGGACGTCCCCGTGGGGAGGTCGTGGGGTGGGTGTGGGTATGCCTAATGCGAGTACCGTGGTTGGGTACACACTGACTGAGCCAGGGAGTGGCCAGGCTGAATTGGGAGTCCAGAAACATGAGGTGAATGATGATCTTAGCCCAGGTAGCTGAGTCCATTGTGCCCACAGGACTCTATGCAAGCAGCGTAAGTGACCCATGCGCTTTTATTAAACCCTGTTAGACTTGAAACAATTGTGGCTGAGAACAGCGAGTCCATTCTGGTAGATTCTGAGATTGTCTGTTCTCAGGGGTGGGGTGAGTAGACAATGTGACTGACACACCATCCAGCGAGAAGCTAATGTAGCATTTAGTCATCCCAGTCTGATATGGGACAAAGATTATGGGTTTGGGTGAGAGGGATGTAAAATGGATGCAGAGTTGGTGGGTTTTTAATATTGTTTGAATGTGGGAGGTGAAGTCACTAAGATTAGCTCTCTCATTGTAAAAATCAGGATGTTCAGAAATGGCTCTTCTGAACAGACAGTTCTGCAGAGGGGGATATAGAGGATGAAAGATAATATCAAGACTATAGCAATATGAATGGAGCGAGGGTGAGGAGGGAAGCAGATGGAAGTTACTGGAAGGGAAGAGTTCAAACAAGAGACATAAGAGCCACCAGGTGTGGAGGAGGAAACGGAAATTAAACAATATACCTAGTAAAAAGCATGGGAGAACAAAGGTGACTTACAAAGTGCAGACTATTCAACAGCATCTCCTTAACATTTTGCGAACTTAAAATGTATACTTCCTGAACTTAAACAACTTTTTTAGCTGTGATTGTCTCTTTCAAAATAGTATGTAACTGGGACCTTAGCCCTTGTTCAACATTGGGTGTGCCCTCATACAAACCTTGGATTGAAGCAGATGCTTTCTATCTTGCTCCCCACCAATCATTCTGAAAAGAACAAACTTTCCCATTCAGAGTTGAGGGGGAGTTCTCTGGACTGTACAGCAAGAAATGCTGCAGGTGATTGGATTATGGAGTAAGCAGCCATCTGCTTTTGGAACTTAGCTAAAGTTGACAACTGCCTTTAAGTGTCTTGTCTGGATAATAGCATGAATTAATTTCTCATGGCAAATACCAGATAGTAATAGTAAATATTCATTAAAATGTGGAAGGTAATTGGCTTATCTCTGTTAACAGTGCTCTTATATTATATTATAATATAATTAATTATATTAAACTGCAAATCATTCTAGCGTGAAGATATTTGTGTGCACTTGAAAATCAGGCTTAGGAGTGTTCTTGAATAGAAGAGTGTGTCTATTAACTACTCTGATTTGGCAATAATATTGTTCTCTGCCTCTGGGTGTGGTGCCCCAAAGCACTTGAGGGTTGCTTTGTAGGCAGAATGACAGTGACCATCTGTGCTCTAGTGAAATTGGAGAGGTAACACTGTGTAGGATAATACATTTTTTTCTGAATAACTACTGAGAACAACGAAATATTTGACTTGGTGTTCAGTCTGATGCAATTAGAACTGACTTGCAGAACTCTCATAATGGTCTCTTCCAAAGATGCTACTGTTGGAATCCAGCCATAATATCACCTGGATTTAGCCAAAGCACTTTAACATAATTTTAAAGCAGTTTGGACCCAGATTCAGAATGTATGTATAAACTTCTTAAAGGGACTAAATAGAAATGTGGTTTACAAAATAAAACATATTGAAATTTCTCTGCAGCATTTGTAATCCAAATACTACAGGAAGGGGTTAAGGTCTGAGATGTTAAGTAAAACTGACTTGGTTTCTCATTTTAAGATGAGTAATGGTAAATAGAAACACCAAACTTTCTTAGCAGGTCTAAGAGTAACAGCCGTGTTAGTCTGTATCCGCAAAAAGAAGAACAGGAGTACTTGTGGCACCTTAGAGACTAACAAATTTATTAGAGCATAAGCTTTCGTGGACTACAGCCCACTTCTTCGGATGCATATAGAATGGAACAATATATGTTCCATTCTATATG